TGTATTTTAGAAAACTTTTGACTTTTTGCCTAAAAAATTATGACACTGTGATTCCACTTGTCTTAGTATGAATGGAATGCTAGATTTCTAATTAAAAAATAGATATGCAACAAGCAACAAAGGTTTATTACTGTATAGCATAGAGAAAGATAGTCAATATCTTATAATAACCTGTGATGGAAATAATTTCAAAACTAATACATGTGTACATGTGTAACTGAAGCACCTCGCTGGGCACCTGAAACACTGAGAGCCAACTATATTCAATACATACACACACATGCTTTAAAAAAGCGCTTCCCTGCACCTTTCTAAAAACTCTGTTTTAGAGTCTCTCCTAACTGCAAATTAAGATTCGGTTTACTTTAAGAATATGGATACATTTCATATATAGTAAACAATGGTACTATTTTTTAAATCTCTCAAACTGGTGAGATACCAACTGTCTTAAATCTCCCTTTCCGATAAGGGGAAAAGGAGAAAACTATTTCAACATTAAAGACAGGAAATACACGATAGATCTACAATTTTAGGGAACCGATTGAGTGTCATTTTTCCTACTGACATAACCTCCTAGAACATTTTATTCCATGCCAACACCTATCACCTTCATTTAGTTTTTTTCCCTTTCTGAATACGTAAGATTCATATACATTCCAGAACAGTATCTGGGCTCTTCCCAGACACGTCACTAAAAAACAGTGCAAAGAAGACTTTCACACAGTTTTTAAGTATTATTTTAACATTGAAGAAAATTAAAATTCGCCATCTCATTGTGCTAACAGCCTTGCAAATATTTGATGATAGTTGTGCACTGCCAATACTAACCCAAGAACTGAACCCAATCTGCCAAAAAGCCAAGCCAAGTCAATTCACATTCTGGTTAATTTTCATTTGATTTTATAAATCAAGTGTGTATGTTGGTTAATATTTTGTCTCCTTATGAACAGATAAAATCAAGTATCTTGATAATGTGGAATCGAAATAAGCAAAAATTACTCTTAGTCTAGACCACTTAACATGATTATCACATATGAGAGCCCAGCGCTTAGCTAATGTGTTCCTTATTACAGACATTACTGGGATCTATCTCTGTAGTTTTGTCACGAGGACCTACTAAAAAGTTAGTCTAAGTGTGGCTTAAGTTTACTTTCTTTACTAGTTACTCTTACATGATCACAATGGTGACATGTATTTCTTGGACAAAATGTAGACACTGGAGAAAAGTACAAAATCACTTACAAGCCTACCAATTAGATCTATTCTCAGCACTTTGGCATATTTTTCTATTAAATGTGCAAATGTACATTTCAAATTAGGAAAATCAAAGTACGTATGTAAGTTTTGTATTTAGCTACTTTCCCTGTATTACATAGGCTTGATCCCTGGGTTGGCAAGATCCCTGGGGAAGGAAATGACAACCCATTCCAGTATTCTTGCCTGGAGAAGCCCATGGACACAGGAGCCTGGTGGGATACAGTCCATGAGGTTGCAAAGAGTCGGAAAGGACCGAGCGACTGATCTGAACTGAACTGAAAATGGTCATGCCCATTGCCACTCCCAGGACAGCGCTCTGCACACAGGGTCCCTGTGACCACATCCCTGCCAGCAGCACTGGGCACTGACAGGAGGAGAAGACCTTCAAATGGGGCACGTCGTGTCAGAGAAAGAGCAGAGAGAGGGCCATTTCTTTGCTTCCCTACTAAGAAGGGTTTTATGGAACACATTACACCTACTCTCCCATCACTTATCACACAGCTTGCTACTCACAAAGTGCTTTTACTACCACGACTACTACTGCTCTTCCCATTATTCCAAGAGATCCCCCAAAGAGATTTCTCCAATTCTACTCCCCCACAGGCCTCTGCTCTACACTTCGTTTCCTCACACTCTTGTCCTCACTCTAACTGTCCATCAGGGTCCAGATGCGGGGTCTCTCTTCCAGGAAGGGTCTCAGGGCAATTATGTCAGTTGTCTCACATAATTCATACTCCTTACCAGGCAGTTCCATATTATTAGTTGACTTTTCTTGGAACTGTCCTTGTCTCCACAATTAATACATTCAAGTTTTTAAGAGACTTGACTCTTTTTTTATCTCCATATCGCTCTTTATACATTATATCTATCATTTTAAGAGGATTTTCAATATATTCCATGTAGAATTCCCTAGTAATGCCTGACTTGTTGTGACCCCATGGACTGTAGCCGGCCAGCCTCCTCTATCCCTGGGATTTCCCAAGCAAGACTACTGAGTGGGTTCCCATTTCCTTCTCCAGGGAGTCTTCCTGACCCAGGGGTTGAACCTGTGTCTCCTACATTAGTAGGCAAGTTCCTTACAACTGAGCCACCAAGTAAGCCTATTTCTTAGTAAATATGTATGAAGATTAAAGAACTGTACTCAAAATTCCAAGGAAGAGGAGAGAAAACAGAAGTTAAAGAAACTCAATGTTTTATAAAATATGTTTTGTCTCTTCCTACACAAAGGATACTCTACTTTCCCTGCAAGAAAATGTTCACCAAGAGAATAAGTAAAATTTAATCTTTTCCAACATGAACAGTAACTTATACTTGCAACTTTACTGAACCCAAGAAGCAAATGAACTAATTATGTCCAAATTCTTACCAACTTTCCGGAAATTCAAGCTTCTTTCCCTGTAGGATACCTTTCTTTCCACCCAAGTGTCACTGGCCATGTGCAGTTAACAGCAGTGTCACTGCACAAGCTATTAATGCTGCCCTGGAGCAGCACTGGTCTAAGTATGGTCCAGGGACCCAGGACCGAGCAAGCTGTCACTGACCCACAAGAGAGAAGCCAGTAAGCATTTCAGCAACTTCTACAGCACTCTGACCTCATTTTTCTAATAATGCATCTTAACTGTCGTTTTGTAAAAATAGGGGTCTGAGGCAAACCAGGCTTAGAAGACAAAAATAAAATCTGGCCAGTTTTACTACCACTTGAGAAGCTGCTCCAGAGTATGTTTGCTCATCCTTTCCCAGTAATGACAAACAGAAGACTCTGAATTTATGGTTCATGTGGGTAAACACTCCCAGAGGAACACTGGACCCTGAGCTGTCCCTAGGCACCCAGATAGCCCGGGTCAGGAGGGATCAGGACTTCTGCAGCATATGCCTACTTCAAGAGTGAGCATCCAGCGTTTCAGGCCATCCACAACCCAAACCCCTTTACTATCCAATCTCTTACACCATGTTCTAAAAGGAATGCCACCTCATCTGCTGGGTAATTTTGCTTCAGTGTTTCAACCTAAACTACACTGCTCCTGTCTTCTGCAAAAATTCATGCCTTACAAACCAGACTGCATGTACCATTCAAAGCTCAACTTGCAAAACTAAATTAAGAGGCACACTTCCAACTTACACTCTCTATTTGTACTGAGATTTCCTTATGTGGAATTATTAAAAAAAAAAAAATTATCACATACTTGTTCATCAGCATACAGTGATACATCTTACTATAACTTCTCATCCACTTCACATTCATGGTGTCTTTTCTACCTAAGCAGATTTTAATTTCTTTTCCTTGGTAAAGCAGAAGTGAGTCTTTCCCTTTCCCTGTGGCTTTCACTTTAACCAGGACAGTGACATTAAGCAAGAATCCTTACGTCAAGCTCAGTAAGTTGTTCAGAGTATTTCGAGTTTGGCTCTTATGTGAGGTATATTATCTTGTAAAAGATCATGCTCTAAGACCAACTGCTGGTGGTTTCACTGTCACATTCTTACGCATTATAAACAAGTAGTTGCGGTCTTCCCTCACCCCCACCTGGCCATGAGGATCCATCTCTAAGTGCTTGTCCCACTCTTCAACCCCATGAACTGCAGCATGCCAGGCTTCCTTGTCCTTCACTATCTCTCGGAGTTTGCCCAAACTCAAATTGCTTAGACACTCCCAGATCTTTTTCTGTGCCTTTATAAACACAGTCACAGAATTTGTTTTTTTCTAAACCACTTAAATGGAACCTACATCTTGCTTCCCCCACAGTCTACAGCATAACTTAGTAGCAAATGTTTTCCTATGGCTATATTATTCACAACCATTTGTAACTAGGCAAATCCTGTCTACAATCAAAAGTCCCTCTTGGGCCATGTTTTCATTCCTGGGCAGGAACCACCACTAATGCTCATTCATCGTTATGTACATGTCCTTCCATCCTTGATTTATATTCTTACTTTGAAGTAGAGTTCCTATGTGCCATCTGTATAAGAAAGTTTTCCCTTATAATGTCTGACTATCCTTTTTTGTTTTTGATTTATTTATATCTATACTCCTTTAATTCTAGCCTTCTCATACTGAGTATGCTTCAAAATATGTTCACACTTTTAAGTGGGAAAATCCTACTACAACAAAACCTTTATCTACTTTTAAACGCTAGTATATGCTACAAACACAAAAAACTGGAGCACTAAAACACAGAATGGGAAAGAAAAACAGAAGTGATGTGTATCAGCTTTTCTATTAAAAGAATTTACTTTGGTATTCTTATGTTGACTTTAATGAAATGTAAAAATTGTATCTCCTTTCATATGCCTATTTCATAATGCAATTATTTAAGTCTCTATTCCTTGTTAGATTATAAACTTGAAAAACACAGAACATTTACTAACCTGGTACACTTTATCAAATACTGTCTACTTATTCTGTCTAGTAATTGATAACAGCAACTTATGCCAAGTGAAATATTGCATATTAGTGTGTGTAAATACCTTCAGACTTTTGCTTTTGTGTTGTAGGTGGAGAAGAAATGGGAACGAGGTTAGGATAGAAAAAAATTAGGGACAGTTCAATTTCCCCTAGAAAATCTGCTCTAAACCACTGTGAATTCTGGAATTTTCTCCAGATTAACCAGAATTTCTGGCTTGCCCGAAAGAGATTCCTCTAAAGATAGTAGCTAAACTCTAGTGAACTATTCCTACTCCTGCCTCAAATTCCTTAAAACAGTCCTGAGAACTCTGTGGACTATTTGTCACGTATGGTTTATACATACCAGTTTGGCTTGTGCTTCTGCAATTTTTCGGTTATTCTCTTCTAATATTCGCTCTAGCTCTTCACGTTTTGCACGTTCTTCCTCCTAAAGGGGAGGACATGTTAAGATGTTAGAAAGATAAAATGTTTGTTTTTTTAATTGGTAAATACTTACTAATCTTCCTCTGAACTTTTTTGATCTGACTTAACAGGGCAGCTGTATAGCCACCTTCTGTCTGGCAAACGGTAAACTGTGCAGCCACTAGCATTTGTCTCTAGCACTAAATTTAATCATCCCTCCCAGTCCAAACAGCAACCGACTACACCCTCCCTAATGACAGGTTCCTGGCCGTTACTACTAATACTTTAACATCACACAAATCAACAAGGACAACTACAAAACTGGATAGTATTTACCAAATTAAAAAATAATACATAAAAGATAAATAAAGTGAACATTTGTCTCACCAATCTGTATACCTACGCATTCTTTACCTATCCTCCTTTAATCAGCATTAAAAGTTGAGTAAACTGTCTGGTCCAGTGTCCTGCAGAGTGAGCTCCTCGGCTGCCACACGCGCCAGCTTCCTCTTTAAAGTGATTTGTACTGTGAGCGTGGCAAACCTGCATCAGCAGCTCAACCATTTATAAAGGAGCACATACAAGCAAGGCTGAGCTGAGGAGTGCAGATGTTTATGGTAAGAAGGAACAAAAAATGTAATTCATCATTCCTAAGGCAAACAATTAATAAGAAAAATACATTTACTGTTAGTGAAAAATACAAATGGTAATCCATACTTCATGGAACTAAGGGCTTCTTCCATGGGGAAAATGGACTTAACATTCAGAATTGTTGACAATTTCTAAAGGCAGCTTATCTTGTCATCTACAATCTGAACTGAAAATCAGGAATCCAGAGGGTGCATGGTCAGGAAATAAAATTCTGTAATTTATTTTTTCTTGGAGAATTTAATGAGATTTTATAATGCAAACTATATGAAGACTGCTTGATGGTTTGGGCAGTGTTGAGATCACAGCATACATATTCAAATGATTTTAATATTTGGGAAGACTGTCAAGAGGGTTGTGTCCGTGTAAAAAAAAAAATTTGTTAATATGAAACAAAAAGCAAACGAAGAGAAAAAAATCTTCCTATGATTAATAACTCGCTACAAGACAGCACCATTACTCCAAAAGTATCTTCGTCATGAAAAACACTAATCAAAATTTCATATACTCAATTGCAGAGGCTGTAACATCCACTAAATATAGACAGGTATATCTAGTTAAAGACAGCATGAGGGAAAATGCATTTGAAAAACTAAGCTTACTGGAAAACAGAGATTTAATGTAAAATCAACTTGTCCACAATAATGCCAAGATTAAAAATGACAATGAATCACATTATTTTGAGTAAAACATTGAAGTTCAACAAAATAGAACTACAGGTTCTATTTTCTATCAATGAAATTCAGTTATTATGCAACTATGTTGAGGGACACTCAGTTCTGTAAAGTAATTTGCCTCGAGTGTTTCAGTGACTTTCAGGAAGTTTTAGGATCCTGGAGTAATCAGTGCAAACAAGCTATAAAGCTTCAGTAGCAAATTACTGTCTCACAGAAAGACATTTTCAACTTCTGCTCCAGCTGCTGATAAAACAAATCGTGTGTTTAGCTTGACTCCAGACAAGGACAACCTGTTCCTTCATAACTTTCTAGAGGAAAAAACGAGTTGTTAGTAGGTACTAAAAAAGTGGATGAATAATCTGGACATTTTTCCTAAAAAGATCCTTGAAACACATTAGGAAAATGGAGGGCCTTATGATCAGAATGCTAGAATTAGTCCATTGTGTTGAAGCAGGATTTGGGGTAGGGGGCAAGGAATAAAAGAAGGAAAAAAAGAAGAGCAAGAAAACCTATTTATCAAAAGCAGGTGCTGTCACTCAACGTTAGGCCCTGCTCTTTTTAATCTGACCGAAGGCAAAAAGCCTCTCACAGTCTAGGCAGTAAGAGTGATGAACAGAAAAGAACACATAACCACAGGCGGATTATTAACCTTCTCCTTTACCACTCTCTGTCTCCCCCCACCCTCCCAAAGAAGAAAATAAGTCCTGCAGCCATGGCAAAAGTTTCAAACACTTCTCAAATATGTAAGCCAGTTCCATTCAATCAAAAAGTATCCTTGGATAGTTTTATGGAAATAACTTTTAAGTATCAGTCAGCACATCTGAATAGGCTAAAAAATTAACTTTCACAGCAATGTTAAGTTTAGACGAGAAAGGAATGAGTCTGTATTCCATCTCTTTCTGAACTGAGCAGGAGGCACACCCGACACTGAAAGTTTTGCCATGGACTGTCTCTACTTTCCAAACGACCGAGCGTTACCTCTCTGGCTTTTTGTGCTGCAAGCTCAGCTTGTCTCTGTCGCTCGAGTTCTTCGAGCAACTGCTTTTCCATGATGCGCTTGGCTTCCTCCACCCTTCGGAGAACTTCTCGCTCAATCTCATCCTTCCGTTTCTCCAATTCTTCCTCGACCCGTTTGGCCACCAGCTCTTCCACTCTTCGTGCTGTTTCTTCCTCAATGAGTTTTTCTTCTATTTCCTGCTGCCGACTAGCAAACAAAGTGGGAAAGGTGATTTTGATAATATAGTAAACCAAGAGTTGAAAAAGAACTAGTTCTAAGTCTGTAAAACAGAGTCCGATTATATATTTCTATGATTTTACAACTCACTCTCATGTAACATACAAGGAAAAGATAGATATTAAGAGGTTAAATGATACCAAAATTCAAATAAATATAAGATCATGGTTTTTTCTTCTGTCACTTTCTAAAGTAAATACAAAAAGACTAGTATATACAAAGAGCTTAATGCCTTAGCTTTAGGAATTGCAGAGTAAATCTGAAACAGGAAATCTACTTTCATTATCAGCTTTATAATGAAAGGACAAACTATTATATAAATATATGATTTGCTCATCTGCCAATCCATTTAATCTAAGCGATGAGTTACAGAAAAGTTAGGAGAAACTTATGTAGCAAGCAATTCAGACCAGCTACAGACCTCCCCCCCCACCCCTTACTTACAAGCAAGGTCAGAATAAATACAGATTCAGAGATTCAGAGTGTGAAAGCAGTAGTACTGCAGCTTTTAGAGAAAACACAAACTTACTTAGCTTCGAAACTTTTACCCTTTAATGAAACCTGTTCTTTCTTTTATTAATTGACTGTCAATTCAAAGCTCTACCAAATATGGGGAGTGCTAGTCACTCAGTTGTGTCCAACTCTTTGCGACCCCATGGACTGTAGCCCACCAGGCTCCTCTGTCCATGGAATTCTCCAGGCAAGAATACTGGAGTGGGTTGCCATTTCCTTCTCCAGATATGGGGAAGTGGATGAAATGCATTTTTATCATCACTTCTTCTAAAAAGTTGAATGAAGCATGATATTGCTTAATTATTCTAATCCCATTTAGATATTATATATGAACTTATTTACTCAAGGTGAAATTCAGTGCTGAAGATACTGACATTTATCAAGGCACCATGCTGGAAACCTCGCACATTTTATACCAGTGATCTCCAATATGACATCCACTAGTCACATGCATCCAATTTGAACTGAAGATTAGTAAAAAGAAAAAAATAAAGATACAGCATATATTAAAATTAATTTCACTGGTTTCTTTTTAATCTGGCTCACGTTACATTTCTATTGAACAGCATTATTTGAGACAATCTGTGCTGAAATGAATGCAAAAAACTCTGAAAGTATACCTAAATCCTAAGAGGTCAATCCATTAATGCTTCAGCTTTCTCACAACCACAAAATTAAACAAAATCTGTAACCTTTCTATCTTTTGATGACTCCCATGTATGTATGAAGTCATTCAATTTATCTGTTTAGTTAAGACTTCATAGTTTCTAAGTGACCTTTAAATATCCTAATCCACTTCAAGTCAACTATTCTGGGGGGTGATTCAACTCCCACTAAGGTGCTTTCATTCTTAACTACTGTTATTTATTCAGTGATACCATATCAACACCAGCATATCTAACATTCCGATTCATATATGTTTCTGCATTTATAATCTCTACGTATTTCTGCCAGGGAGATAGCAGCTTCTTGAAAAAGCATAATTTCTATTAGGTTCCAGATATCTGCAATAACCACTCTGAAGATTCTGTTGCTTGTTTCTTAACTATCTCTTCCCAACATTATATTATTAGTGATTATAACTGGGGGGGAAAACATGAAAGCCTAACATGTACTCTAACTATGCTCCTTTTCCTTTTTTTAGTTTCAACAAAATATAGTATTAAGGCAGTTCCAATAAGCCTTCATCTACAGCAGCTCAGTAAAAGAGAACAGACATCTACTCCAGCACTAAAAATGAGTGACCAGAATATCTAAAGGAAATCAGGCAGTGACTTCAATACAAATTAAAACTACATTTCAAATATAAACATGCTGTTTCTCTACTTTATCCCAAGAGAAAGAAAATATGAAAGAAACAAGCAAGGCTAACAACTGCTGAACCTGTATGATGTATGAGGATTATAGTACTCCATTTTAGTAAACTGGAAAGCTTTCATAACACCAAGTTTAAAAGTATACACATACCCTGCACACCTTTTGTTAGCTGGCTCTTATAAAATTAATAAATGTGTAAGAAGAAATTTCATTTTAAAATTTCAAAAACAGTACAACTCAACTCTTAAAAGAAGGACACTATAAACCAAGTTCCAATTAAAACTTTCCACACAAAGTAGCAAAGAGGGAAAAGAATGGGATAAGGCTTTGAGTTAGGTTATCAGTAAAAAAGCTGACTAACTAAGGAGTTTGGTAAAGGTGGAAGAGATTTGACATATATTTAGTGTTTCTGACAAGCAAACAATCCCTAAATGACAGCAATACAGCACAATGGCTGACGGGGCCACATTTCCACAGATTTGGTCAGTAAGCACAAAATGAACCTAAATAAATTCAGTGTTATTACTTACAGCAAAAGCCACACCAGCACGGTATCAGCTCCCTGGGTCTCTGCTCCCACTGATGGACACCAAACCAGAGGGGCCAGGTGACAGGCTAAACACTGTGACAAGCAGTGTAGGCAAGAGACGGCTGCTGCTAAGGAGTCAACTCTAACTACAGCTCAGCAGTTTCACAGTCTCGAGGGGAGGGCAAGCGGAAACTGTCAAGCTTAACTGAAACCAGGAGATGGGAAACCGCCCAGTGGACTTTCTCACAAGGCTGCTTATCTTTCTGTTCCTGGAGGAACAGGCACCCCCACCTCAGACTGTAATTAGGCTTTGCTGCCGTGCCCTGCCAGGAGACAGGCAAGGTCAGGGCACGAGTGCAAAGCCGCCCCCTACAAGGACTATCAACAATATAATTGCTATTATTCTTAGCAAGGTTAAAAGAGCTACTTCAGCAATCAGAAAAAGTTGATCAATTTCTAGATCCAGCTCTGAAATCGTTAAAAGCCCCTCCCTGCACACACGTGAATCCAGAACCTCCATGGCACAAGCACAGGGGAGCGGACAAGCCCCTGCTGAGCCGCCCACGGGGCGCCAGGCGCTGCGCTGGAGCCATAGCCTGGACCCCTGGCTGTGCCTCTGTGCGCCTTTACCTCGCCCTTCTCATGTCTGGGCCCCTGATACACAGTGCGAAACTCAATAAAAGGCAGTGCAGCGTAGCTTTCCTGTGCCACTCGGCTGAAGGAAGGTGGGGTGGGTGGACAGCTCTTAAAAAATTGAGTTCATTTTTACTGATGACAAACAAATTTATTATCATAATTGCTGATAAGGCAGCTATTAGGCTGACTTTCCAAAGAGGCACTGAAACTTTATCAAGAAAAGAAAAAAAACAACAACCCAATTTCATCATTAGTATCTTATGAAACGTATCACTACAACTATTGCATACCCCTTTGTTAAACTTTGGTCATAGGAGTTATCATTCTTGATTCTTTTCTCTAATTTTTTTCCTCAAAGTCCTTTGCTAAATTCATCCCCTTGTTAAGAACCTGTGACACATGAAAGGGGTGAATCAAAACCAAGTTTTCTCCATTGTCTCAGGTCTTTTAAAAACACTGATCACAATCAACCTTAAAATGGCAACCACTAGAACAAACAACAAAGGCCCAGCAACACAGCACCATTAATTCAAGTGGGACTTTGCACAGAGCATCGAGGAATATGATTTCTAAGTCTTTAAAATGCACAAACTCAGTGCTAGGAGCTTAATTCTAGGAACTGCTTCATAACATTAGCAAACAGTATTTATTCATACTGACTACTCTGCCCAAAGCTCTATACACCACAGCATCATGTCCATCTCTGATGGCCTCTGAGGCAAAGCAGGTGACTGAGGAGTGACCCTCAACCTAGCTACTCCACAGGTAATGACCTACTACGCTGCACTGTTTCTCCAGACAAATGTGGAAGGCACAGGTATGCACAAAAATTTAGATACAAAATAATTACTTTAAAAACTGATAAAATTCTTTTCAACATCAGCCTGACCTTTCTCCCTAAAGTTCGTCTCAAAGCCCTACCCACCCTGACATGCAGTTCCAACACATTGAATTTGCTCTCACAATAAGCTCCTAAGTATTCTCAGAATCACTAGACAGACCCCAGTTTACTTCAGATACTCTCATTTAGAAGGCACTCAAGATGTCATGCAGTTGAACACTAAAGTTACTATACCACTATTATCCTGATTTGTTGCAAGTCATTTTCAGTCACTCTTTCTCTTTCCCCAACAGATATTACATCGGGCATAAAGCATCTCAAAATAAAACCTGAAAAATGGTAAGGGTGCAGAAGCGGAGAGAGAGCACAACCCTGAATGACTGGGACATGAGGAGGAGGAGCTCTTTCTAACTGAATCATCAACCTCAAAATTTCAAGAATTTTTTAATTTTAAGGTCTGCCTTTTATTGTATTAAGATTATGACTTGTAAGGTCACTTCTTAAATTCACCAGGTTCAATCTGGTTGCACGTATGTAAGTTACAAACAACATTATTGAGTCTCACTGCATACATGACAAATATCACCTAGGTACCCCAAATGCACTATTTCTAACCTTCACAATAAACAAGACAGGTATCTCCATTTTACAGGTAAGAAATCAAGCTCAAAGGTAGGTAGTTTATTCAAGGTCTCAGAGTGTAAATGGCAAAACAACCTAGTTTCCAATCTGAGACTTTCTAATTGCTAAAGCCCAATCAATTCTAATTTTCTGTCTCTCCACCTCACACTGGACCTCGCACAAGAAGGTACACTCGACAGTGTGTCTTCTGCTCCTTCTTCACTCACTGCCCAACCATGCCCTTTCCTTCTGTCCAAAGGTAAACACACACATCGCTGTGACCACGGCTCTTCCCCACACTCACCCTGGGTCATTCTATCTACGCTCAAGGGTTCTCAGGTTTCAGTCCCGCACTATCAAGCTTGGATAAACTCACTATATCCAAAATCTAGTGCCTACATTGGAAGTGCCAAGTGGAAACTCCCTTTATTTTCCCCCCTCCACCATCCACCAGGCTTCTGACATTTTATCTCAGTCTGACCCACAGTGTCATGACTTAAACATCTGGTAGCTGAGGTGCAATGGCCACAATATAAACTTAAGAGCCAAGAATAATGCTTTACTTCCCTTTTGTTTCACATCGAATTTTATTTACTCTAAATGTTTCTTAAATCTGCCCCTTTTGTCCATTTCAACAACTGCTCCTTCACTACTCCTACATGTATTTACTGCAATTTATCCTACACAGCAGTCGATCTGTTTAAAAACAAACATCTGTTCAAAAACAAACCAACCAACAACCCCACACCATTTGCCTGCTTTAAACCCTTCTGGTTTCTATGATGAAATCCAAGGTCCGTAATTCAGCCTATAAGACCCTTCCCATGATTCCCAGCCTCTACCTACCTTTCCAGTACTCCATGACTTTAGTACCTAAGGAATTTCTTGTTCAAGTCCACATTCACCTCTTTACTCCACACTAAGACCATTGGCACCTCTCCCTTTATTCTGACAGGGGTGGGGGCACTCCCTCCCTGGGTCAGAATGTATCCTCATATGGAGAGCCTGACAGTCTCCTATCTTTATCTGCCACTCATTCTTCAAGAGAACTAAGGTGTTGAGCTGTCCAGGATGCGTTCTTTTCAGTCACATCACTATCACGGAATTTACCACACTGTATTACTACCTACCCATCTACCCATCTTCAAGCTAGATTGAGATCCTGGAGGGTCAATCATCTCTCAGAATAACAGCTCTTGGCATAGTGCTTGGCACTTCTCAAATGCTACCTAAGTATTAACTGAATGAGCTAACCAACACAATTTGTAGATAGACAACTACTTCTGCCCATTCCCACGGCTGTGAAACCTAGACCTTTCACTTGCCTCTTCTGCATGATTAGACCATATTAAGCAGTGCCTACTTCAAGAGACATAGGTTCGATCCCTGGGTCAGGAAGATCCCCTGGAAAAGGGAATGGCCACCCATCCAATGCAGAAATAGAGGAAAACAACAGAATGGGAAAGACTGGAGATCTCTTCAAGAAAATTACAGATACCAAGGGAACATTTCATGCAAAGATGGGTTCGATAAACGACAGAAATGGTATGGACCTAACAGAAGCAGAAGATATTAAGAAGAGATGGCAAGAATACACAGAAGAACTGTACAAAAAATATCTTCACGACCCAGATAATCACGATGGTGTGATCACTCACCTAGAGCCAGGCATCCTGGAATGTGAAGTCAAGTGGGCCTTAGAAAGCTGAAGATCACTACTAACAAAGCCAGTGGAGGTGATGGAATTCCAGTTAAGCTATTTCAAATCCTGAAAGATGATGCTGTGAAAGTGCTGCACTCAATAGGCCACCAAATTTAGAAAACTCAGCAGTGGCCACAGGACTGGAAAACGTCAGTTTTCATTCCAATCCCAAAGGCAATGCCAAAGAATGCTCAAACTACCGCACAACTGCACTCATCTCACACACTAGTAAAGTATTGCTTAAAATTCTCCAAGCCAGGCGTCAGCAATACGTGAACCGTGAACTTCCAGATGCTCAAGCTGGTTTTAGAAAAGGCTGAGGACCCAAAGATCAAAATGGCAACATCTGCTGGATCATCAAAAGAGCAAGAGAGTTGCAGAAAAACATCTATTTCTGCTTTATTGACTATGCCAAAGCCTTGGACAGTGTGGATAACAATAAACTGTGGAAAATTCTGAAAGAGATGGGAATACCAGACCACCTGACCTGCCTCTTGAGAAACCTATATGCAGGTCAGGAAGCAACAGTTAAGAACTGGACATGGAACAACAGACTGGTTCCAAATAGGAAAAGAAGTACCTCAAGGCTGTGTATTGTCACCCTGCTTATTTAACTTACATGCAGAGTATATCATGAGAAACGCTGAGCTGGAAGAAGCACAAGCTGGAATCAAGATTGCCAGGAGAAATATCAATAACCTCAGATATGCAGATGACACCACCCTTATGGCAGAAAGTGAAGAGGAACTAAAAAGCCTCTTGATGAAAGTGAAAGAGGAGAGTGAAAAAGTTGGCTTAAAGCTCAACATTCAGAAAACTAAGATCATGGCATCCAGTCCCATCACTTCATGGCAAATAAATGGGGAAACAGTGGCTGACTTTATTTTTTTGGGCTCCCAAATCACTGCAGATGGTAATTGCAGGCATGAAATTAAAAGACGCTTACTCCTTGGAAGCAAAGTTATGACCAACCTAGATAGCATATTAAAAAGCAGAGACATTACTTTGCCAACAAAGGTCTGTCTAGTTAAGGCTATGGTTTTTCCAGTGGTCATGTACAGATGTGAGAGTTGGACTGTGAAGAAAGCTGAGCACCTAAGAATTGATGCTTTTGAACTGTGGTGTTGGAGAAGACTCTTGAGAGTCCCTGGGACTGCAAGGAGATCCAACCTGTCCATCCTAAAGGAGATCAGTCCTGGGTGTTCACTGGAAGGACTGATGCTGAAACTGAAACTCCAATACTTCGGCCACCTCATGCGAAGAGTTGTCTCATTGGAAAAGACCCTGATGCTGGGAAAGGTTGAAGGCAGGATTAGAAGGGGACGACAGAGGATGAGATGGTTGGATAAAACCACCAACTCAATGGACATGCGTTTGGATAAACTCTGGGAGTTTGTGATGGACAGGGAGGCCTGGCATGCTGTGATTCATGGGGTTGCAAAGAGTCGGACACGACTGAGCGACTGAACTGAACTGAACCCATCCAGTATTCTTGCCTGGAGAACTTCATGGACAAAGCAGCCGGTGAGCTACCTACCATCCATGGGGCCGCAAAGAGTCGGATATGACTGAGTGACTATTGGCAGGACACACAGGAATTCAGTGTAAGGTGGATGCTAGTTCTACCCCCTCCTCCCTTCATACATGCTAATGGAAGTATCCCTCCTCTATCAACTTGGAACTATATAACTGCTCTAAATTCTCATTTCATCTCTGGATTTCTTCTCTGCTATTCGTGTGAAGTTTGCTAAATCCTTCTAAATACTGTTCCTATACGTCTTAAGCTTTCTAGTGAATGGCAAACCATTACTCTTTGGAGGTATCCTTTGGCTTCTCTTGTAAATATTATCCCAGAGACGTCAGTTTTTTTAAATGCTCATTATGTTGATAGTTATTTGAGAACTCCATCTTTACAATTAAGGATCTTGTTCCAGACCAAAAAACTGGATTCTATGTAAACGAAATTTCCTCCAACACAATTACGTGTACTTGGTGTTCATACAATCACTGATACTTCTAAGGAAAAATCAAAGCATTGCGCGTGTTTTAAAGGAACGGAGCGAAGGAACTCCTCAGGTAATGCTTCCACGGTAATATTAGTTTTCTATTCCCTGACCTCTTAATGATTTGCTTTTAGAAACAAGCCACACTGCAGAGAAAGTTAAAACCTCTGCACAATCAGTACACAAGATAAACTTATCTTAGGAAAATTCAACATTCAGTAACTGTCCTGCCTCATGTGGGCACTTTCAGAACATGCACTCAAGAGCCACGGAAGACAGCTGGTTAAACAGGTCGACTCAGCAAGGCAACTCTGGGTGGGAAAGAACACCCAGAGCATCAGAGTACCATAGTCTTGAACCGAAACAAAACCCTACACTTTAAAAGCAAAATTTCATGATTAGACCATATTATCCCAAGCCATTTCATTGGCTTGGGACTATGCGCACCCCTCGAGAGGCGCCTCTTCTACACTGGACCAATGCAACAGTGAAAGCAATTACTGTCTTCTCCACAGCAAGTACGCCACAAGGGGAAACAACAGGCGTGCACCAAAGCGTGCTACAGAGAACCACACAGCAAAATGAACCAACAGTGCAATTCCCTGGTGGCTCTGGCGGTAAGAATTCGCCTGCAATGTGGGAGACCTGGGTTTGATCCCTGGGTCGGGAAGATCCCCTGGAGGAGGGCATGGCAGCCCACTCCAGTATTCTTGCCTGGAGAATCCCCATGGACAGAGGAGCCGAGCAGGCTGCAGTCCACGGGGTCGCAGAGTCGGACACGACTGAGCGACTTGGCACAGCACAGCAAAAGGAACTTACTGTACACTTAAGCTACGCGCGTTTTGCTTTTACACCTCAAAAAAAAAAAAGAGGCTCAAGAAGGGAAAAGAGACCACGACATCACTCAACAGGAGGAACACACCGAAGTTCAGCGCCTGGCTTTGGAGTGTTTTTCTTTATCCCCGAGAATTCGGGTCCTACGTCTCCCACGCGACAGAGGCCCGCATCCCTCGTCAGCCAAGGGGCCGACGCGGCTCCCCGCCCGCTCGGAACTGCACCCCCCACTTCCGGGACTCGCCGCCGCCGCCTCTCGCGCCAAAACGCGCTCTCCCCTCCAAGCCCTCCCAGGCCGGTCCCCGCTGTCTTCCTTCCCAACCAACTCGCGGGTAGGTCCTGACCCCCCCGCCTTTCCAGACGCCGAAGCTGCAGGCCCGCGGGGCCCGGTTCCAGCGACCCTTCTAACCTCCTTCACCTCCCCCCACTCCGACCAAGCCATCGCCTGCCTCCTCGCCGCCCCACACTCCCGCACCTCACCGGCACCCCCAGTGTCCCCGCCATCCGCCGCTACCTCTCACTGACCCCCATCACCCCCACTGACCCGGTCACCCCCTTCTTCCCCTGCCACCCCCGACTCCCCCGTCAGCCCCTCTCCCCTCACCACCCCCCATTGACCCCGTCACCCTCTCCCTCACCACCCCCACTCCCCTCACCACTCTCCCAATCCCCTCTTCCCCATCACCCCATCTCCCCTCATCAACCTCACTCCCCTCACCACCCCTCTCCCCTCACCACTCCCCCCGTCACTGTCTCCCCTCACCACTCCCCCCCGCACCCCCACCCCTGCCCGCGCGGAACCTTACATTTTCCGCTGCCGCTCGAACTCTGCCTTCTTCTCCTCCTCCTCTCGCTTCTGCTTCTCGTCCAGGCTGCTGCGCTTGCTCACCGTGCGCCCGAAGATGTCGATGCGGTCGGGCGGGGACGAGGCGCGCTCCCGGTCCCGCTCGCGCCGGGACACGGCCGTGTTCGTGGAGCGCGAGCGGGACCGCGACTCCCGCCGCCGGTTCCGTTTACTTTCCCGGGACTTGGAGCGCTTCCGCACGCGCTCCTTGTCCCGAGAGCGCGAGCGGGACCGGCTCCGCTTCTTGTTGTGCTTGCTGCTCTTGGTGTGCTTGGAGCGGGACGAGCTCCGGCTCCGAGACCGGCCCATCCTTCCGGGCGACGCTGTGACTAACCTCTGGCTTCGGGCCCTGCACGTGCCGGGCTACCCACGCCTCTGCCTCCGGACGTGGGCCGGCAGGCCTGTCGAGGCCGAGGGAAGGAAAGCTGGTCAGCGAGCTGACTCTCTCGTCTCTCCGTGAGGTCGAGGGCCGCCGCGAAGGCCGCCTCCCACGACAAGGCCGCAACGCCAGGAGTTGCTAAGATGGCAGCCGCGGCCGCACCGGCCGCCCCTCCCACAATGCCCCGCGCGCAACGCGCCGTCGCGCGAGCCCCGCCCCCTGACGCTCCCTGCGGAAGGCGTGGCCGCAACTTCGGAGCGCGCTCGGCTCTTTCCGCCGGCCCGCCGCGCGGGAGGCCGACCTCCTGGCCTCTGCTCCAGCGCTCTTTTCTTCCTGGTAAGATGCTAATGTGATCTTGGGCTCGTTTGGTTTTGCCTCAGTACGAACTGACTGACGGCGTTATTTCTTAGGAGCTGGTTTCGTCAAGCAGGCCAAAATGGTGTCAGTGACCCTGGGTATAGACCACTTTCCTCTGAGCTGAGCTCGCTGGTGCTGTGCCCTGGAGACACCCCACTTTATGACGCGGTTGTGCAGCTCACTGGCTGGCAAGGAGGCTGGGATACAGGAAAGCCAGGGGTTAATGCAGCGGTTCAAAGGCCAAGTGCAAAAACTCAGATGTCTCCATCAAAACTGAGTTTAGTAAGAGGCTTAAAACTCGAGAGAGATAAGCAGAGGGAAAATTAGCAGTTTTCCTTTTGAACAAGTAATAACCTATTAAAAAGGAAATTATTTTATCTGCAATGGCATCAAAAACTGTAAAGTAGTTAGAAATAAAGTTTAAGGAGTTAGAAGATCCTGGTGATGAAATAAATCCATCACTCTTGGTGAAAACAAGACTTGAGTAAATGAAAAAAACGTGCCAGATCTTTGGATGAGAAGTCAGTACCAAAAATAGGCCAGTTCTTCCCAAGTCAAATTTGAAAATTAGCACAACTGACAACAGAATCCCAAATTCTCTCGAGGGTGACTTAAACGTAACTAATTTTTAATTTTGTGTAGAGGATCACACAGTTGTGAATGATCAAGAAAACCCTTAAAAAAAAAAGGAGTAATAAAAAATTAAACACCAACCTGTTAGCACAGAAATAGGAAAAACCATCAGCAGACTAATAGTACAAATCCAGTTTTTTTCTTTCTTTTTTTTTTAAATTAATTAATTTACTTGTTTTACTTTACGACATTGTATTGGTTTTGCCATACATTGACTTGAATCCGCCATGGGTGTACATGTGTTCCCCATCATTTAATAATATAGAGTGTACAGAATTACCTTGTACTGGAAATATTTCTCTCAGTCTGTTACATGTATAATATGTGTATACATATTATGGGCTTGCCTGATGGCTCAGACAGTAAAGAATCTGCCTGCAGTGTAGGAGACCCGGGTTCAATCCCCGGGTTAGGAAGATCCCCTTGAGTAGGAAATGGCAATGCACTCCAGTATTCTTGCCTGAAAAATCCCATGGACAGAGGAGCCTGGCAGGCTACAGTCCATAGGGTCACAAAGAGTTGGACATGACTGAGTGACTAACACTTTCACACTACACTTCATGCTTACATACAATTCTCCAAGCAAGACTTTAACAGTACTTGAACCAAGAACTTCCAGATATTCAAGCTGGATTTAGAAAAGGCAGAGGAACCAGAGATCAAATTGCCAATATCTGTTGGATCATAGAAAAAGCAAGAGAGTTCCAAAAAAACATTTACTTCTGCTTTATGGACTATGCCAAAGCCTTTGACTTAGTCAAAGGTTATTGCATGTTGTGGATCACAACAAACTGGAAAATTAAACAGATGGGAATACCAAACCACTTTACCTGCCTCCTGAGAAATCTGTACACAGATCAAGAAGCAACAATTAGAACGGGACATGGAACAATGGACTGGTTCCAAATTGGGAAATGAGTACACCAAGGCTATACAGCCTGCTTGTTTAGCCTGCTTGTTTGTCACCCTGCTTGTTTAGCTTATATGCAGAGTACATCATGCTAAATGCCACATTACTTTGCTGACAAAGGTTCGTCTAGTCAAAGCTATTGGTTTTTCAGGTAGTCATGTATGGATGTGAAATTTGGATCATAAAGAGAAGCTGAGTGCCAGAGAATTGATGCTTTGAACTGTGGTGTTGGAGAAGATTCTTAAGAGTCCCTTGGACTGCAAGGAGATCAAACCAGTCAATCCTGAAGGAAAATCAACTCTGAATATTCGTTGGAAGGACTGATGCGGAAACTCCAATACTTTGGCCACCAGATGTGAAGTGCTGACTTAGAAAAGGCCCTGATGCTGGAATTGACTGAAGGCAGGAGGAGAAGGGGACAACACAGGATGACGGTTGGATGGCATCACCAACTCGATGGACATGAGTTTGAGTAAGCTCTAGGAGTTGGTGAAGGATAGCGAAGCCTGGCGTGCTGCAGCCCATGGGATAACAGTCATCTTCGACTGAGCAACTGAACTGAACACATCTGGAATGAGGGCCATTTGATGTTAAAGTTAGTTATCTCGTGGTAGTTGATATATTGGTTTCCTAGAGTACCACAGTCAGACTGGTTGCACAAAGCAACAGAAACTTAATCACTTGGAGCTCTGAGGGTCCAGCTGTCCAAACTCAAGATGTCGGCAAGATTGGTTCTTTGGGAGGCTTGGAGGAAGACCATATTCCATGCCTCTGTCTTAGTTTCTGGTAGTTGTATTCTCTCTTTCTTTGGCTTTTCAATCTCAATCTCTGTCTTCACATGGCATTCACTGTGCATCTGTTCTTTTCTTATTCATGTGTACTCAGTCGTGTCCAACTCTTCATGACTCCATGGCCTGTAGCCCACCAGGCTCCTCTGTCCATGGGGTTTCCTAGGCAAGCATACTGGAGTGGGTTGCTATTTCCTTCTCCAGGGGATCTTTCTGACCCAGAAGTTGAACCTGTGTCTCTTGTGTCTCCTACATTGGCAGGCCGATTCTTTACCACTGTACCACCTGGGAAGCCCAGGTTCCCTTCTTATGTAGATACTAATTCTTTTCATTAGGACCCACCCTAATCCTATATGGTCTGATCTTAATGTAATGTAATCTGCAAAGATCCCATTTCCAAGTAAGTTCACAAATCCAGGTTGACATGAATTTTGGAGGGATGCTATTCAATCTAAGACAGCCGGGTTTTTAAAACTTAAACTTATTTTTCTGCATGTCACGAATTCTTTATGATTAGTGCATGATATTTTACAAAAAGAATAAAGGGATGTGTCTTTTTTTAAAAACTGTGAGAAACTCCACCATCTATCATAAGGGTGATGCTTTAATTTAGTGGGAAAAGATGGGTTATTAATAAATGCTGCTGACATAATTAAAGTAAAAACCTTAAAAATACAGTTAATTTAATTTAGAGTTTTGCATCATGTGCTGTGCTTAGTCACTCAGTCATTTCTTACTGTTTGTGACCTCATGGACTGTAGCCCACCAGGCTCCTCTGTCAATGGGGATTCTCCAGGCAAAAATACTGGAGTGGGTTGCCATGCCCTCCTCCAGGAGATCTTCCCAACCCAGGGATCGAACCTAGGTCTCCCACATGGCAGGCGGATTCTTTACCATCTGAGTCACTAAGGAATTCCTTTGCATCATAACAAAGAAAATTAAGATGGATTGAAATATAAATATATACGAAAGCATAAAATATCACTCTTAAATAATTATATGAGACATAAAATACGTAACTATGAAGCAATGGGTTTACCACCTAGAGATTTGTTTTTAATACAAAATCCTGTGTCCTTTCCCCAGAGATTCTCACAGAGTGCTTGGACCCAAGAGTATGTGTTTTTAGTGAGCACCCCACATGCTTCTCTTGGAGGCACTCCATCAGCAACAGTTTGTGGAAAAGAAAAGTGGATCAAAGCCACTCGAATTACTGGGAACTGTCTTTGAGGATGCACTGAAGCAACGAGGGACACACACACGTCGGTTGTCCACTTTATCAACGTTTCAGCATTGCACACTCCATGAACTTAAACGGAGAGAAACAAAGGTCAGCATCATATCAGAGTTCTTACCAGAAACCATGCATAAGTAGAAGACAGTGGAGTGACATATTCAGAGTTTTGAAAGAAAAAAAAAAAAAAAACGGTGACCTAGAATTTTGTATCCAGCGCAATTATCCTTCAAAAGTAAAAGAGAAATACAGATCTTCTTAGAGAAGCAAAAGTAGACTTGCCTTGCAAGAAACAGTTTTAAAAGTTCATCAGGGAGAAGGAAAAGGATAAGGGTCAGAAACTCAGATCTACGTAAAGAAGAGTCAGAGAAGAAATAGTAAAGAATCTTAGATTGTCCTTGGAAGCCCTTACTGTTAATGGTGCTGACTGTTATCTGAATCCCATACTCCTGGAAAACAGTGACAATTAAGAGATTTCTCATACTTTGTGTTTGGAGAAAAAGCTCACTGCAGGGAACCTGTCTCCCCCATAAGACTAAATGAGACTTACAGGAGTACCTTGATTACTTAGGAAAAGGCCAGACACAGACCCTCCAAATTTCCATGCTTTATCTCTTAAATGAGCTGAACTATTTTGTCCCCACTGATCAATGGGAGCAAATGTGTGTTAGACAAACCTTGGTTAAACTTCTGTCATGACATATTTTGAAATGGCTACTACCTCCCCCACCAGCCAAACAAGGGGGTTTTTCTCCCATCTTCACCTTGAGAACATGATGGGAGTGCTGGAGATAAAATCCATGAAAATGTGGGGGATTCTTGCTTCATCTGTTAGCCCTTCGTGAGTGTCTAGCAGTGTGCTGTGGGAACCACAAAAGCCCTGCTCCTGGTCCCAGAGCTTCTGCTGTGTGGTCGTGTTTTCCCGGTCCTCACCTCTCTGTAGTTTTCAGGGTGTTGGCTTATCCCAGGACCTCAATTCTCTGATGGAGCTAAGAAAATTCATTGACTTTCAGTTTGTGCAGGGCTTTGCTGGTAGGTCAGACAGTAAAGAATCTGCTTACAGTGCAGGAAACCTGGGTTTGATTCCTGGGTCGGGAAGATCCCCTGGAGAAGGAAATCGCAACCTACTCCAGTCCTCTTGCCTGGACAATCCCATGGACAGAGGAGCCTAGTGGGCTACAGTCTATGGGGTTGCACAGAGTTGGACCTGACTGAGCGACTAACACTTTCACGCTTTCAGTTTATGCAGCTCTTTTCTCGTTCTGAGGGATGGTGACATGAGTTCCAAGCTTTTTGTTTTGTTTTTACACTTAATTGTTTTAACTCCCACAAGAATCATATACCAGTAACCTAGGAATTCACCTGTTTGTTTCAGATAATACAGCCTTAAAAAAATGTGAGTGAGCTGTGACTCATATCTGGATTTCTTTTCCCCATGTAGTGTGAGCAATCTTTTCTTAAAAAAAAAAAAAAAAAGTTGACATATACCAAAGAGTCCCAGAAATTAGTGTTTCAGTACCAGCCTGTTCCTAGTTAGCCTTTTTTTTTTTTTTTGGAATGAGACATTTTAAGAATGGCCTACCCTCCTCCTTTCTTTCCTTTTAGTCTTCAGTTATTAAATTAAATGTAAACTCAGCCATTTTGTATAAGTGCCTTTGTGGGGTTTATAGGCAGGGGGGATTAGCGTTTATTGCCAAATCATCAGGCCTCAGGAACTGTGCTAAGTGCTCCTCAAGCGTTAAGGCGCACTGGAAGCATCTGGGGCTCCAGCTTAAATGCACATTCTGGCTCAGGTGGTCCAGGGTGGGGCCTGAGTGTCAGCATCCCTCGCTGGGTGATGCCTGGTTGCTGGTCTGTGACTGCATTTGCCTTGGCTAATCCCTGCTCTCGGATAAGTATTGGGAGACTGGAGAGGTGAAAGGGCTTTTGCACAGCTTCACAGCTGGTCAGTATTTAAATCCAGGTTCTTGACTGCAAAGGGAGGAGGAAATGGCAACCCACTCTAGTATTCTTGCCTGGAAAATCCCATGGACAGAGGAGACTGGTGGGCTATAGTCCATGGGGTCGCAAAGAGTTGGACACGACTAAGCAACTGAGCGCTTGACTTCTTAAAAAGAAGTGGCCCAGGGATCCCTGCAGTTAATTATCCCATCTCCCCCACAATCACAGCCCTTTATTTAGATTTCTGTTTAGGACACTGTTACCAGTGTTGAATGTCCCCCCACAAACATATATTCAAACTCTAACCCCGACCCCCTATGGGTGAATGTGATGTTATTTGAAAATAGCATCTTTACAGATATAATCAAGTTAAGATGAGATCAAACTGGAGTAGGGGGCCCTGAATCCAACATGATGGGCGCCCTTATAAGAAGAGGATGGTGACAGACACAGAGGACAAGGTCACGTGAGGTCTGAGGCAGACTGCAGTGATGAAGCCTCAGACTAAGCAACCCTGAGGATTACCACCAGGAGCGGGAAGAAGTGTTGGCAATCAGGGTTCTTGGCCTCCTAATCAATGGAAACTGATCAGAGGACAGACAAGAAATTTCGACAAGGCTTTACTGGGGCCCTTGCTGCAGCAGTGGGAATGAGAACAAGTAACAGGCTCCCCTTCTGGCTCCCTCCCTTCCGGTCGTGTTGTGTGCACAGGGCATGTGTGGTATCCTGCTTCTTCCCCCCACCTCCTGCTTCCCCCCCGCCCCCCACCTCCTGCTTTTGCTTCCTTGTGGCTCAGCTGGTAAAGAATCCACCTGCAATGAGGTAGACCTGGGCTCCATTCCTGGGTGGGGAAGATTCCCCTGGAGAAGACATAGGCTATCCACTCCAGTATTCTTGCCTGGAGAATTCCATGGACAGAGGAGCCTCGCAGCTCTTAGGGTCACAAAGAGTCAGACACGACTGAGCAACGTACACACTGGCTTTTGCTCCAGGCTCTGCAAAAGTGACAGTTGGGCTTTTTATAGACTCTGTATCTTTTTGTCCAGAATTTGGCCCGACTGTGCATGCGTGTGGTTATTTTTAGACACTGACAGCTTCTTTGGACCTTGTAGCTCCAGGAGAGATGTGTCCAGGTGCCCACACTGCAGCTCTGAAGCAGAGGGTTCTAGTCCCAGCCTGTCTCCAAGGCAGGGAAACAGTCTCCCCTAGAGGCTTTGGAGAGGATATGGCTATTCCAACCCCTTAATTTAGGACCTCTAACCTCCATAACAGTGGGTTTCGTGGATGGCTCGAAGGTAAAGACTCTGCCTGCCAACGCAGGAGACCTGGGTTCAGTCCCTGGGTCAGGAAGATCCCCTGGAGGAGGAAACCAGGCAACCCACTCCAGGATTACCTGAAAATTGCATGGACAGAGGAGTCTGGTGGGCTATGTTGGGGTTCCAAAGAGTTGGAGCACAGCAGTAAAGGTAACAATCTCCGTAACTGAAACAATACAATGCTGGGTTTATTTTATTTTATTTTATTTTTTGGCTGTGCTGAGCCTTAATTGCAGTGTGGGCTCTTCTCATTGCAGCGAGTGGGGGCATCTCATTGTGGGGGTTTCTCTTGTTGCAGAACTCAGGGTCTAGGGCACACAGGCTTCAGGAGTTGTGGCCCCCAGGCTCTAGAGGACAGGCTGCATAGTTGTGGTGCATAATTGTAGTGACTCCATCGCATGTGGGATCTGCCCACATCAGGGATCGAACCCGTGTCTCCTGCATTGGCAGGCGGATTCTTTTTTGCTGAGCCTCCAGGGAAGTCCAGTTCTGTTGTTTTCAACCACAAATTTTGAGGCAATTGGTTACAGCAGCCATAGGGAACTGACAGAAACACTTAATACAGTATCTTGGTTTCGCGGGTCTCTACCAGGCTAGATTGTCACCAGGCACTTCAGGGGCTGCCGAGAGCCCTTGACACCAACACCAGCCCTCATCCTGCTTTGTTTACTTGCTTAATTAGAAAAAAAAAAAATAAGATGTTTACATTATGAAAGTAAATCAGCCGTATTGTACTTAAGAGCAGAGAAGCCTCTGGTTTGCTTTTGCTTTCAAATACTTTTAAAGTACAGCTCTATTCTTCAACAACAACAAAAAATTTCTCCCCAGGGGGGGAAAAAAATCTTGTATTCATGTGATTAATTGCCAAGATATTTGCTTGAGTCCTGTGCTGCTAAGCAAGTGTTTATCATCTGAAAATCTTGTGACATTTAGAAAAGAAAAACTTCTTGGGTTAGCCTTATAATTTGTTCCTCTGTGCTGCAGAAAGTTAAAATTGAGAACCAAGTTTTATTTCATCTCTCTTCTCGAATCAAGTACAGCCTTTTGGCTTTAGTTGGACTCGAAGATAAAATAGACTAGGAATAGATTTTTCCTCTTTGCTCTCCATTTAAAAACTCATAGTAGTGGAGGAAAAATAGTATTTATTTTCATGCTGCTGCAACAAGCCACCCCAAAACTTTGGCCTTAAAGAACCATTTTATTATGCACAGAGATTCTGTGTACAGTGGGAGATGCCATCCAACCCATCTCAGAGGACGAGATGGGTTGGATGGCATCACTGACTCAAGGGACATTGAGTTTGAGCACACTCCAGGAGATGGTGAAGGACAGGGAAGCCTGGTGTGCTACAGCCCAGGGGTTGGTTAAGAGTCAGACACGATTGAGTGACTGAATAACAACAGTGGGAGTGGCTTGTCTCTGCTCCAGGTTGTCTGGGGGCTCAGTTGGGAAGGTTCAGTGGCAGAAGGCAGAAGGGGGACCATGACTCAATGGCCAGAGGCATCATCTGGAAACTCAGCTACATCACCTGCCTGTGGCCTGGGCACAGCGTGGGGCCTTGTGCCAGCTCGGTGCCCCCAGTGTTAGTGACCCAAGAGAACAAGCGAGGCAGAAACTCCCCACGCCTTTTCTCAACATGACTTCCAAAGCCATGCCATCACTTCTGCTGCATTCTGTTTGTAACCATTGAGTCACCAGGGTTGGTGCAGATTTCAGGGGAAGAGGCCTCTTCCTGAGCACTCATAGAATGTGCAGGCGTGTTTAAAAATCATCATGATACCCTTCACGAATAAATGTTTCAAAGAACATGTAATGAAAGTAGTGCTGCATTCTAGAAGGGAGATACTCTCAGGCTTCTGTTTGATTTTGAGTAAGATTTTGCAGCTCTCCAGCCCTCACTGTCCTCAACTGCGGGATGAAGGGCTGAACTAGGTAGATCCCCAGCTCCTCTGCAGAGCTGTGGTTTTATAGTTCTTCCTGTAATTGTACCAACTGAAATGTTACAGGTTCCAGTTTGCATTATACAGCTGATGTTTATCTGTCACATTATTTTCTGTTGTCTCCAGTTTTAGAACATTTTTTAAAAGTCTTTCACTTATAGTATCTGCTTTCTTTGCTTTTTGTAGAGTCTTTATTTATTTACATCCTTCTTTGGGGGTTTCCCTGGCGGCTCAGCGATAAAGAAACCCCCAGCAATGCAGGAGACAAGGGATCGAGCCATAGGTTGGGGATGCCCTGGAGAAGGAAATGGCAACCCATTCTGGTATTCTTGCCTGAGAAATCCCATGGACTGAGAAATCCCTGGTGGGCTACTGTCCATGGGGCTGCAAAGAATCAGACATCACTTAACAATGTAAGCGTCAAAAGTGAGTGTAATATTTATAAAAGTAGCCAATAAAGCAAGAACTGTTGTTGTTCGTCACTAAGCCATGTCCGACTCTTTGCAGCCCTGTGGACTGCAACCCCTCAGGCTCCTCTGTCCGTGGGGTTTCCCAGCAAGAATGCTGGAGTGGGTAGTCAGTCCCTTCTCCAGGGGATCTTCCTGACCCAGG